TGCATCTCGATAATGGAAGCGATAAAAATGCGATTCATAAAAAGGAAGATGATATTGATAAACAACACATGGTGTCTGTCGATCGAGAATCATTGTTCTATGACATTGTTCAAGCTGATCAAGGAATGGTAAATAGTGCGCATCATCAATCGATAGACAAATTGGCAAAAGAGTTGGTGGCTGTTGCATTTTCCGATGATGGGGTGGTAGAAGCGGTAGAACTTCGCGATCCAAAACACCAGTTTTTATGCGCTGTGCAATGGCATCCGGAGCGCATGTTGGATGTACACAGTCCTTTTTCCATGAACATAAAAAAGTCCTTTTTATCAGCAGCTTGGGAGAAGCGGAAAGTATTTTAAAAATTATTTAGTACATATAAATTATGAAAATTATCAATCCGGCTACGGCTGAAACTATTACAGATATTGCATCAGATAGTAAAGAAACATTAAGTGAAAAGTTTGCTCAACTGAAAGCAGGTCAAGTGAAATGGAATCAAGTGTCTATCGATGAACGCGCACAAACCTTGTTGCGTTTTCACGATTTGTTGGATACGCACAAAGAAGATTTAGCAAAAACGTTGACCAGTGAAGTGGGTAAGCCATTACAACAATCGTACAATGAATTAAACGGTGCACGCAATCGTATCAAATGGTTAAGCGAAAACGCGAAAGCCTATTTGTCGAACGATTGGATGGTAGAGCAAGATGGCATGGGCGAGAAAATTGTATACGAGCCACTAGGTGTAGTCTGTAATATTTCGGCATGGAATTATCCGTATTTAGTGGGTGTGAATGTGTTTGTGCCGGCTTTGTTGGCAGGGAATGCAGTGATGTATAAGCCTTCGGAATTTTCAACTTTAACCGGATTGAAGATTCAAGAACTCTTATATTCAGCAGGTGTGCCGAAAGATGCATTTGCGTTAGCTGCCGGAGCAAGAGAGGTGGGAGAGACCTTGTTACATATGGATTTCGATGGCTATTACTTCACCGGTTCTTATGCTACAGGTAATTACATTTATCAGCAAGTGGCGAAAAAAATGGTGCCTTGTCAGTTAGAACTAGGTGGTAAAGATCCATTGTATATTACTGATGATATAGCTGATGTGAAGAACACGGCCATTGGTACAGCGGATGGAGCATTTTACAATAACGGACAAAGTTGTTGTTCTGTAGAACGAATCTATGTTCACGAAAAAGTATTTGACGAGTATGTTGCTGCTTTTGTAGAAGAAGTGAAGTCGTGGAAGACCGGAGCGCCTGTGGAAGAAGGCGTTTACATTGCTGCATTAACAAGAGAAGCGCAAATTCATGTGCTCGAAAATCAAGTGAAAGACGCATTGGCAAAGGGCGCGAAAGTATTGTGTGGCGGAAAACGAATAGAACGTGCCGGAAATTATTTTGAGCCCACTGTGTTGGTGGATGTAACGAACGATATGATGGTGATGCAAGAAGAATCGTTTGGTCCGATTATTGGCATCATGAAAGTAAGTTTCGATGAACAGGCTGTAACACTGATGAATGATACGGCTTACGGTTTAACGGCAGGCGTGTACACGGCTAGTCAAGCACGAGCAGAAAGTATTTTGTCGAAAGTTAATTCCGGTACTAGTTATTGGAATTGCTGCGATAGAGTTTCTCCTGCATTGCCGTGGAGTGGAAGAAATCATTCCGGTTTTGGAGCTACCTTGTCGCATGCAGGTTTGAGAGCGTTCACTAAACCAAAGGCATATCATTTGCGCGGAAACTGGTCGAAATAAAAAGAATTTGTTGATACCAACAGCAGCAAGCAAACCCAGGAACTTCGGACTCGATGTAATGCGAGCCACTGCAATATTGTTGGTGTTAGGGGCGCATGCTTTCCATATTATAGCGCCACTCGTTCCTAAATCTATTTCCTTTATTTCATTACCTGATGGGGTAGATGTTTTTTTTGTGCTGAGTGGATTTTTGGTAGGCGGCATTTGGATAGATATGCTGGAACGCAACGAGACCGGACTTTTGAAAACCTTTTTTTGGAAACGCTGGCTGCGAACACTACCTCCTTATTTTATTGTGATTACGCTATTGTTTCTTGTGCGCCTTTATTTTTCAGCCGGAACATTTGCATTTCCTTGGCGCTATTTTTTGTTTGTTCAAAATATGTATGAGCCCGAGTGGGATCCATACTATTTCTATCCTGAAGCATGGAGTCTATCTGTAGAAGAATGGTTCTATGTGTTGATGCCTTTGAGTACTCTGTTTTTTCTGCGTTTTATCCAACAACATAGAAAGGCTGTATTTTTATTCGCGATGGTGATGCTTCTTGTTCCATTTCTTTTACGCATTCTTTTTTTTGTGCAACATCCTATTGAATCGCTTGATGATTGGAACCGATATTTGCGCCACATAACGATATATCGACTGGATATGATAGGCTTTGGTGTATTGGCGGCATGGTTGAAATATTACAGCAACGAACGTTGGGGAATGATGCGGAGTTACAAAGCGCTAGGCATGCTGTTATTACTTGCTTCCACTATAATCTATCACTTTTACGCCTTTGGTTTTATGTTTCTATCGTTATTCTACTTCTCAATTGTAGGTGTTGGATTGCTGTTATTGCTTCCAACTATAGAAATGCTGAAATGCACATCGTCACGAATAATCAATGTTGTGACATTTTTAAGTGTTATATCTTACGCTGTTTATTTGCTGAATCGTTCTGTTATTCTCTATCCATTAATTTTGCCTTTCAAGCCGGTATTTGCTTCATCTGTTGTGTTAACGCTTGGGGTTTATGTAGGTTATGTTATTCTTGTAATGCTTATTGCTTATGGTTTTTACCGATTTGTTGAGCAGCCGATTTTAGCATTTAGGGATAAGTTGGACATAAAAAAAGGGCAATGATTTTAATCGCCCTTTTTTATTTAGTTGTTATTAGACCTTATTAGTAATACTGTATTTCGTCATTCCCGCGGAGGCGGGAATCTCATTTTGCTCAGGTTGATTGAAAGGATTCCCGCCTCCG